TTTATATAATTTTTTTATAATCTTATATATTATTTAATAGTTAATTTTTTAATTTAATTAAAATCTTTGATATTGTATATATATATATATTTTGAACAAATTTGCAATGGGTCAAATTTGAATCGTTACTCTAAAAAAATAGAATGCACTTATATATGACCTGATATTATTGAATCGAAAGTTCAAATGCATATATATTAATTTATTTAATAATATATAAAAATTGAATATATATAAAAAGGTTGTCTTCTATTTCATCTTTCTTCGTTTTAGAGAAATTACGTGAAAAATAAAAAAAAAAAATTGATGTGGAAAATTTATTTTCTTAAAAAATTATTTTTATCACAAATAATTGTGTAACTATATTCCAACGTGGGTGCACCGTTTCGGAAATTTAAAATACTCCTAAAAGGAAATTTAAAAACACATGACAATGGTCCGCACTTGGTGGCCTACTGGCCACCCCTTGCGGAACGTGCACCCCTTGCTGAACGTGCATAGAACTAGTGAATTTGGATCAAATCCTAGGTCCCCCTTTCCTCTTCTCCGGAAAAGTAAAATACCCCTTAAAAAAAAAAAAAAAAAAAAAACATGACAATGGATAAAGTTGAGACCCATGGAAATCGAGGTTTTTTCGTTTGACTTTGAAAATTAACCAAGTTCTATAAACATTAAATTATCGTTAATTACTATTTCTTCAACGTTTTATTGTTTCTTCTCCTGTGACTGTTAAGTGTTGACGAAAAATTCTCTCTTTCTAAGGTCTAAACTCAAAATCAATTGCTAAAAAATTGATCCTCTTCTTTTTGTATTTTTCAATCCAAAACAAGATCAAAAAGCAACTTTTATTTTATATTTTTTTCTTGTTTTATTTTGTTTTAAGAAAGATGATATTAGCACTGCCCTAGAAACCCAAAAACATTAGTTGTTGAAAAAATGCATTTCCCTCCTGCGGGTTTCAAACCAGTCCTATGTCAAAATATTAAAAATAAAAAAAATTAAAAAAAAGAAGAAGAAGAAGAAGGATGATATTGTATTAATAATAAAAGTAAAGAATCACAAAATATCTCTATTTTAAAAAGAA